GATAAATTTGTCAATCGAAGCAGACGGTGTGTTTTTGTTGGGTATCCTTTTGGAAGAAAGGATGGAGCTTGCATGATTTAGAGTCCGACATGTTCTTTGCATCAAGAGATGTTACTTTTTTAGAGCATGAATTCCCGTATGCACACAAGGAAGATGCACAGCCGAACAAAGCACAAGGCCAATTTAATTATGGAATAGGTGGGACAGATGAGGTGTTGGTACCATCCACTTATTTACCTGGACTAGCAAATGGTGAGATGGAGGCTAACCAGTGAGGTGAACCCGCTGAAGAAGGAGTCCGTGTAGAAGAAGGAACCCGCGTAGACCTGAATGCAAATGCTGGTGAACCCATGCATTCTTGTGACGCCACCACAGAAAATGCAAGTGTAGATGGTCCTGATGTCAGGGGGTGGCGATATTGAGCAACAACAGCACTCTGAATTTCATTTGGGGCGTGGGCATCGACAGAAACAGCAGTCCACAAGGTTGAGAGATTATGTGCTTCACACCACACAGCGCTTGAGTCCCTCTCCGCGTCCCTTTGCAAGCTCACTCGGCCAATCACATTCTGCAGGTAGTCCTTATCCCATAGATAACTATGTGAACTGTAACAATTTTTCTTGTCGACATCGTGCTTTCTTGGCAGCTATTATTGCAGGAGTTGAACCTACTTCTTTTGCTGAGGCTGTAAAGGATGAAAAATGGAGGGATGCAATGCAGAAAGAAATACAGGCACTTGAAAATAATCAGACATGGACTGTGGAGCCTTTGCCATCAGGAATACGAGCCATAGGATGCAAATGGGTGTATCGAATCAAGTATAACGCTGATGGGACAGTGGAAAGATACAAAGCCCATCTTGTGATTTTTGGGAACAAACAAGTTGAGGGAATTGATTATAATGAAACTTTTGCCCCAGTTGCAAAAATGGTTACTGTCTGTACCTTCCTTGCAGTTGTAGCAACTAGAAATTGGGAGCTTCATCAAATGGACGTACATAACGCATTCTTGCATGGTGACCTTCATGAGGAAGTCTACATGTGAATGCCTCCTAGTTTTCAGTCGGATAAACCAAGTATGGTGTGTCGGTTGCAAAAATCTCTGTATGGCTTGAAACAAGCGCCGAGATGTTGGTTTGCTAAATTAATCGCAACCTTGAAGACATATGGATTTCAGCAATCATGTTCAGATTACTCCCTCTTCACCTTTCGTCGAGACAGGGTGCATGTGCTTGTTCTCGTGTATGTGGACGACATATCGTGTCAGGTAATGATCGTATGGCAATCCAAGTCTTCAAGAAAAATATTTGAGTGACTGCTTCCATATGAAAGACTTGGGACCATTGAAATATTTTTTGGGCATTGAAGTTGCCCGAAACTCAATAGGAATTTTTCTGTCTCAACTTAAGTATGCTTTGGATATTATCTCTGAAGTTGGATTACTTGGTGCAAAACCTGCTCCTATTCCTCTAGAGCAGAATCACAATCTCGCCTTGACAGATGGGCCTCTTTTATCTGATCCTGAGCGATACAAGCGCTTGGTGGACAGGCTTATTTATCTCTCAGCAACACATCCAGAGTTGTCTTATTATGTGCATGTTCTGTCATAATTCATGCAGCAACCGCAAGAAAGACATTGGGAGGCTGCATTGCGGGTGGTGCGCTACTTGAAAGGAAATCCTGGTCAAGGAATTCTCTTGCGTTCAGATTGTGACTTAATATGCATGGTTTGATTCAGACTAGGCGAGTTGTCTTTTGTCCCGACGTTCTCTGTCTGGATGGTTTATTCTGCTTGGGAAATCGCCTATTTCCTGGAAAAGTAAGAAACAACACATTGTGGCTCGTTCTTCAGTGAAAGAAGAGTATCGTTCTATGGCCACTACCACGTGTGAATTGAAATGGCTGAAGGGATTGTTATTGGCTCTTGGAGTTACACATTCAACCCCAATGCGATTATATTGTGATAGTCAGGCAGCCTTGCATATTGCAGCAAACCCAGTGTTTCATGAGCATACGAAACATATTGCAGTTGATTGCCATTTTGTATGTGATGAGATTCAAAATGGTTGCATTCGTCCTGCTTATGTGTCGACTACCTTTCAGCTGGATGACATTTTTACAAAAGCATTGGATCGCAGAGAATTTGAGTACTTTCTCCGCAAGTTGGGCATTCACAATTTGCATGCTCAAACTTGAGGGGGGGTGTTGGGATTGAATTAGGAGTCTCCGTTCAGTATATCTTCTTTGTATATATCTTCTTATCCTTATCTTGTATAGTTCAGATAGGAAAGATAGGTTTGAGTCCTTGTAAACTTAGGAGATTCGATGGCTGTATTCATGTATATATATATCTGAATTCTCAATAAATAAAATACAGAGAAAGAATAAACCAGAAAAGCTCTGATTTCACAAAATGCATAGGAATAAAAGTTTAAAAGCCAAATAACGGGTTCCTTCTTACAAATGGGCCCTAAAAAGTTAACATGGGTCTGCATAGTTTTAAGGTATAAGTCTAAGTGAACATGATCTATGAACTAAGAATTCAAATGAAGTAAGCCAAATGAGGCCCATACCCAGATACCCTCTTTTAATAGAATGGTCCCTTTTATCAAAAACCACCAATTCTTACGTGATATAGCAGAGAGCATGTATAAGAGTTAACAAGTGTCTGAGATTGGCAACTCTAACCTTAGGATCTAAATAGCAGCGCCTACGGAGAACAATCTCTCTAGTCCACAAAACACATTTGAGAATTGCAAGCAATTACACCTTCAAACTCACTACAATTTCACTTCAAGCCTTAAGAGAGAAAAGGAGCAGAAACAATTTCTTATCTTTCTACTTCACATTTGGATTCATTCTCTCAAAAAAGATCAAGCCACTGCCAAAGGTCTTAGAGAAGCATTCTTCACAATTGGTCAAACACAAAGTCTGGAATTACATCTAAATTTGATTAAATTTTGGTAAGAATTTCGATTAGTTATTATTCACCATTGAATGGAGTTTGGACATAATAAGTTATTGACTAACATTAATCAATTAATAAACTGTTAGGTGTCAACCTGCAGGTTGGTAAGGTCTCTTAGCAGAATCCTGCCTACACCTGGGTTGAGGGACGGGCTACCCCGGTTGTGTATCCCTTCAAAAGAAATAAAAAAGAAATTAAACCAACCAATTTTATTAATATAAATACATAATAAATTTTAAGTATGGGTTAGGAAAAGGGTCGATCCAATTATGGAATAATTTAGACATGTTTAATTGGATCTATTTACAACCCTATGGCGGGACCATTAGTAATGTCGCATTTTGACAAAGGAGCCATTTGGGTGTATCCGTATAAAATTAATTCTTCACTTTCATATAATTTCACATCAACCCACTTTCTCTTTCCAATGAAGCGAAAAAGAAAATGATATATAAGCAAATAAATCAGTTCAAGATAAAACGCAAAAGAGCTAACAGTTGTGAATTACATACATCATAAATCAGGGGGACTCGCATTTATTATTCAAGAAGACAACCTTGCCTTTCTTTTTTTTAATCCATAAAAAACAATTTTGATTCATTCAGCAATGCTCAGAATACATCCCAAAAAGCTAAGATCATCAATAACAGTGAAAAGAAAGAGACAACGAAAAACCATCTACCGATGAAGAAGATGGTGACTCTGAACACCGGGAGAGAAAACTCGTGAGCCCTCTTCAAGTGGGGCAAAGTCATGATATGCCAAATAAAAGGAGGATGAATTCACTTTGCTTTTGCCATTAAATGTTCAATTTATCCACCATGATTATTATTATATTAATTCCATGCAATATATATCTTGCCTTGCAGTTTTCATTGTTCATACCTGCAAAAATGACCGTGTGAGTGGTATCGGAGGATTAGCGATGAGGTTTAACCTATCTGTTGATAATCAACTTACCAGTAACGGGCGAATTGACGGCGTCCAGCGAGTATGGTCTGTTTAGTTAATTCTGGTCATGATGTAGCAAATTTTGTAAGTATATAAAGAAGACCGTGAAACGGCATAACAGATTATTAGCTAGCAAGACAATGTCTATACAGAGTAATAAAAACAAGGATACAACGAAAATCATACAAAAATAAATAAAGAGATGAATTCGTAACACTTGTGACTTACTGAACATATCTTCTGGAGTCGAGATGTTATTGGAGTCGTTTTGCCTCTGAAGACGCTCCATAGTACGTCTATATTCCTCCTTAGAATAATAAAGCCAACGTCCATCATCTAGAAGAATACCAAAATTGATTTTGTTTATATGCTGCAATGGATTAAGGCCATCTTGTTCTTGTTCATTGTCCAACTGCAGTATTGCCATATCGAACTCATTGGGCATGTTTGTGGAGCTGAAATATTTTAGCTTTCTGAGGTGCTGGATGCCTAATGGCAGTTGCTTCAAAGCCTCACAAGTCGACATGTATAGGGATTCAAGTACCGGAAGTGCTCCATCGTCCATGACTACCGATTTTACATTATACGAGACGCCAATTTCAAGTGCCCGAAGTCTCCCGAACCCTTGTGCTTCAAAATGTAGTTGCTCTGCTTCGTATACACCATTGAGATACAGCTCTTCTAGCTTAGGCAGTGATTGGAGAACTTTAATGGGATCATCTCTTAACCATGACCAACCCAGACGTAAGTAAACTAAGTTTTCTAGAGACGATAACCAGTATGGCAAATTATTTAATTTGGCATCCAACCATAGACGTCGAAGAAGCCTGGGAGGAGATGATATAAGATTGAAATCAACCAACTTCGGTTGCTTGACGTCTAACTTCAAGGAACGGAGGTCATTCATCTTATCAATAGAGGAGCATATGTTTTGTCCATCTTCCTCTCCCAGGATTTTAATGCCGAAAGTCCTAAGCTGGGTTAAGCTTCCCAATTCTTCAGCTATAGAAGAGCCTTCCGTTGCCTCTATGAATGATAGCTTCTGTAGGGCTGTCAAACGTCCAATTCCATTGTGCACGTCCACCGCCGGATGATCTATGTCATTATCAATATTAGAAGCCAAAAGATGTCGTAAGTGGTGGAGCTTTGAAATGCGAACAGGTAACTTGACCACTAATGTCCTTCTAAGATCCAGAGTTTCTAGGTATTTTAGCTTGCCCAAGGACTTTGGAATCTTTCTGATCTTTGTTCGTTTCAGGCTCAAATACCTTAAATGATAGAGAGTCACAATCTCATCAGGAAAATTTTCCAAAGGAGCACCTTGTAAATCCAGAACCCTTAATAACTTGAAGTTTGATAGAAGTTGTTTTGCAGATTTTTCTTGAAATCCATCTATTCCAAACATCAGAAGGGTCCGAAGACGGGATAGATTCCTGGTGTTCAACGAAACACGGTCGCTGTTTTCAAGGATGGATAAGCGCCGTGCATTTATGGGTTGCCACCTTGTCTTTGGTTCTGGATAGACTTCATAGAAATTATCATCCTTGGACTTGGAAAGAATGATCTCGCGGAGGATATCATGGACTCTACAACGTGATACTTCCCCGTAGATATTCAAATGCGCTACCTGAACCAAGCTCCTTTGAATGAGCTCATTCAAGTAGTTTAGTGCAACCTCTTCAGGTGTTTTACCTCTTACCTCTTCAATCAATCCTTCAGCTATCCACAACTTAACAAGTCTTCCACATTCAATAGCGTAATCCTCTGGAAAAGATGATATATACAAGAAACAATATTTCTGAGGGTGTGGAAGATCATTGTAGCTTAACCACAGCAATCTTTTCATAGCTGGACTTGAGTCCAGCTCGTAGCCCATGCTGTCATAGAACTGTTTCCATTCAGAAGCAGACTTGACCCTTTTTCTCCCCAAAAGGCTTCCTACTGTCGCAATTGCAAGCGGCGTTCCTTGACATTTGTCGACGATTTTATGGGATAGTTCATGTAATTCTTGAGGACAATCACCCCCAAATGCCTTCTTACAGAAGAGTTCCCAAGCGTCTTGTTGGGATAAAGGTTGGAGATCATATATACGATTGGGTGGTCTTGCATAGGAAGAAGCTACATCGGTTAAGCGAGTGGTAAGAATGATTCTACTACCGTAGTCATTAAGAGGAAATACATGTTCTACTAAGAACCGTAAATCGGTGCTCCAAACATCATCAAAGATGATAACATACCTCTTTGACTGTAAATATGCCATAATCAATCGCTCCACCCTTCCCATTGCTTCTAGGTCTGCTGGAACTGGTTCCTTCCTTGCCTCGCAGAATTGCTTTATCATGTCCTTCAACAGCTCCTGAACTCGAAAGGACTTGGAAACGGTGACCCAGGCTTGGCAATCGAAGTGTTCATTCACTCTTCTGTCATCGTAGACCTTTTTAACAAGGGTGGTCTTGCCTAATCCACCCATACCCACCACAGCAAGAACCCTGCGATCTGGTTCTTCGTCTAATAGCCAACCTACCAGTTCTTCCCTACGCTGCTCAATGCCCACAAGGTTAGTTTCTTCAATGAACAGGGAAGCCACTGGAGGATCCTGGATTAAGTCGTTCTCCAAGGACAAATTCGAACCTGGTGTAATTGAACTACTGAAGTTGTATCTTTCTCTTCTCTCTTTGATTTCACGTACCCGTTCTTTGATCTCTTTTATCTGACTGCCTAATTTATGGCGTGATTTTAATTCCTTGAGAAACCGAGCACTACGAAAAACAAAACGAATGGACCAGTGCTTAAATTTGTACTCTTGAACTATGCGAAGCACGTACTTGTCTAGCACATCTTCCACATCGTAAACCAGCTCCCGCACTTGTTTCACCCAAGTTTTCACTCCTTTGTCAGTCTCAGCTTTTGTGTCTGCGTCCTCCAGGAAGGCTCTCATGAAGTCCAATTCGTCTTTTATGTACCGAACTTCTCTGTCAACACCGTGCAACAATCGTCCCTCTTCTATGAGCACGAATCCTAAATATTGGACAAGAATGCTCACAGCTCTCTCCGCCATTTTTTGGTGCAGAGCCCACAAACAAACAAACAAGCAAGCTCAACTACTCAAGCCTTGGATTGAACTACTGAGTAAACTAGGGAAATGAGTGTGCAGTGACAGAATAGACTATCAAAGCTACGAGGGCATCGTGTTCCCTGCCATTGGATCATAGGTTTGGTGATCCGATTGCACAGTTCAACTATTTATTTTAAAATGAGAATCAATATCAAACTAGTGGCTCATTTACAAGGTCAATTGGTTTAGTGGTTCAACTGCATGTTTAAAATATTGCTAGAACTCAAAGTTTTGTATAGTTTGAATTAATCACACAAAATGTTAGGTTTGATCCGGATATAAACCAAATTTTCTCATTGGGTCATGGATCGAGTAGTCCAATCATCTAGCTGAATTGTTTGACCCAATAAATTAAAAACTCAAAAAAAAGTCGAAAAATACTAAGGGGGACTGAACTCAATAATCCAAACTGAATAGCATTAACCTATATAGAGATGATGACAATGGATCGGATCTGGTCTGGGACACGGTGGATCTGCGGGTCCCAACCAATAAGATAATGATGCAGACCAAATCAGACCCTATTAATTCTATAAAACCAGGCCGGTTATTAATTGGGCTAATTGGGTCTTGTCTCCTTACAGCCTATCAAATTTGACATCTATAATTATTTGTAATACAACATTTATAAATTCACTTTCCATAATCAATGTTTTAAAGACATAGTAGAGTGGGCTTTTCATGGTAAAATAATGAAATTTTAGTGCTATTTGGAGAAATTGGGTAATGTCGCGTTTCACATGTAATTTATAGGGTGTTGGTGAAGTTAAAGCTTAAAAATAAGCCAAAAACAAAAAGCTTTTATTGAAGCTTTTCAAATCTTTGGCTTTAAGCTTCCACCCTAGCTATAATCAATGTTTTAAAGAAACCCAAAAATGGAACACTTTTTTCCTTTGGGTGGTAGATAAGTGATTGAATTATCTATGTCAAAGGGGTCAATCTACAATTTAATAAATTAAATAATAAAAATAAAATAAATAAAATTGAAAAAATACAAAAATTATAAAAAATACAAAAAAAAATGCAAGAACATGATATTATATATCCATCTTATATTAAACAAAAGTAAATATCACAAATGAGAAAAATTATTATTATTGAAAATGAGAATCAATACCTAATTAGTGGCTCATTAACAAAGTCAAATGGTTTAGTGGTTCAACTGCATGTTGAAAACATTGCTAGAACTCAAATTTTTCTAGTTTGAATTAGTCACACAAAATGTTAGGTCGGATCTGGATAGAAACCAAATTTTCTCGTTGGGTCATGGATCGAGTAGTTCAATCATCTAGTTGAATTGTTTGACCCAATAAGTTGGAAATTCAAATAAAAAGGTAAAAAGTACAAAGGGGGACTGAACTCAATAATCCAAACTGGATAACATTAACCTATATAGAGATGCCAATGGATCGGATCTATTCTGGGACAACGTGGATCTGTGGGTCCCAAACCAATAAGATAATGATGGAGATCCAATCCTGAATCAGACCCTAATGTTGATTTTATAAAACCAGACCAGGAACTAGGTCGGTTATTAATTGGTCTAATTGGGTCTTGTTCCATTAGAACCAATTAAATTTGACATCTATAATTATTTGTAATACAACAATTTTTTTTTGGTAAATAGAAGTTAGGGTGCAATGCGAGGACTTCCTAGAAGGTCATTCATCATATTATTACTCTCGCCCAAGCACACTTTACTTCAAAGTTCTGATGGAATCCAATGCACTAGTGCTGGTATGCACCCATATATAAAAAGTTAGGGTGCAACACGAGGACTTTTTGGTAATACAACAACTTGACACATCACTTTCCATAACCTATATCTTTATGCATATAGCAAGATTGTCCACATCAGCACGCCTCTTCTTGCTCCCTTACCCCCATCTTGCCTTCTCTTTCACTCTCTCTCCTCTCCCCTCCCCACAGTCCTATTAAGCCATGTCATCATTCCTAACCCAACCACCTAAAAATATTCTTAGAATCTCTCTTAAGGTATCTCTTCTAACCCATGAGTAACTTAATCATGTGACCCTACTCCCCAATCAATTCCTAAAATCTCTCCCCCCCCCAATCTATATTCACTCTCTCTCATTTAAAATATTCATATTAATTAATATATAGTTAAATACAATTGATATTTAATGCAACCCATATTCAATAAGTATTAAATAGTGTTACTACCAAAAGTTAATAAATATGTTTAGTAAATTACTAAAAATTAATAAATAGTGTTATTAATTAACTCATCATGATTTTTAAAGTATAATAGGTAAATACCGTTATATTCATGTTAATAAATAAAATATTATAGAAATTGAAAACTCTTCAACTAATTTCTATGAAATTGAAAATTATATTTAAAAATGGTCAAAAAATATAAAATTTTAGTTATTGCTACTATTATAGTTAATAAGCAAATGCAAATGGGGGATAAAATATTATAATGTTGAAAAATGAAATTACTAATAATTTATATTGGAGTAATAGAAGATAAATTAGCATAATTTTGTTAGTAAACTACCTAATAAAAATAAATACTTAATATAAATTTAAAATAATTTTTAATAAATCTCCATAATTACACAAATGCAATAAGTTTTTCAAAAATTTTCATAAAACTACATGTTCGTAAAATAACATTTCGGAAATTAAAAGATTTAGAATTTTTGAAAATTTATTAAAAATGTATTAAATAACTATTAAAAATTATTGAAATATTTTGGAAATTCTAGAAAAATTTATTACATTTGATAGATTTTGGAAAATTATTGAAATTTTATGTAATTTTCATTGTAAATTATTGAAAATTATTAAGATAAATGGGTATGGGAAAGGCAAAGTTGTAATTTGAACCAATAATTACACAAATTATTAAGATAAATTAGTATAACATTGGAAAAGTAATTTATTGATTAATTTATATTAGAAAATATAAGATAAATTAGTGTAATTATGTAAGTAAATCATTTAAAAAGAAAATAAATTATTTAATAACAATTTAAAAGTAAGTTTAAATACATTTCCAAAATTACACACATGTAATAAGTTTTCCAAATTTTTCATAAAATTACATTTTTGAAAATTAAAGACAATTTAGTGTATTTCTAGAAATTTACATGTGGCTAATACTTAGTATATCATTTTAATCATTTAGGTCATAAAATTAAATATTGGGTTGACAAGGAGTGGGTGCCCTGCCTTGAACCCGCCCAACACCGGTGATAAGGTGGGGAAAATTTGAGGATCCCCCACCCTTAAGGAGGAGTGGGTGCTTTGCCTTGAACTTGTCCAACACTAAGGATGAGGCAAGGAAATTCGAGGATTGCCCATCCCTAACGAGGAATGGGTGCCTTTCCCAAACCTTGCCTAACACTAGGGATGGGGTAGAGTATTTTAACTATGGGACGGGGACAAGGATGGGGTGCCTTGCCCCAAACCCACCCCGTTATCATTCCTATATAGTTGTTAATTATTAGTGAAATTAATAAAAATGTTAACTTTTGTAATTATTCCTATTTATTTAAAGTCAACCAATATTTCATTTAAAAATAATGAAAATAATAATAGTTATTAAAGTTACTACAAATGATTAATAAAATTAAATTTATTGAAAAAATATTTGATCATATTAAATTAACAATAATTATTTTCTACAAATAAACATTAAATGAAAGATACAATTGTTAAATTTTAAAAATTAACAATAACTTTGAATACTTTTAGTTAATTAATAGAAAATTTTGATTATTAATTTATCAATTAATTAATTTTTTTAATCCTTCAGATTTTCCTATGCATCCCACGGGTCCCCACTAGTATATACTAAATTAGAGCTTTCCATGTCAACAGTCATCTCCTTGCTCCGCTACACAAACTAAGCAATTCTAGAGGGGGAGCAAGATTACCTCTAGAAGCACTAGGAGTTGCCACTTATTATGGCTTATCTCCTTTTTTCCTCTCCTTTTTACTTAGAAACTAACAATCTCCCACTTTCTCCAAAATTATCTCTAAAGAATGTTTCAATTAAAAAATTTAACAATTATTTAAATATTATAATCAAATTATATTAATAAATTTAAAATATTTATTAAAAACACAAAAAAAATATTATAATGGGTTTAATAAATAATAATTTTATTTTTATCAAATTCATAATGAAATAATACTTTTGTGGATTATTCAATTAATTTAATTACTAAATAATATTTCAAAAACATAAATAAAAAAATTTTAAATAGCAAAATATTAAAAATATCTAAATAATTATGTAACAAAAATTTTAAAATTACATAAAAACATTAAATAAATAAAATATAAATAAAAATATTAAATATTTTGCATATTATTTAAATATTGAAATAATGAAATATTAAACATAACTAAATTTTAAATTGTTAAAATAACAAAATTATGTAATAAATTTTAAAAGTTTTTCTTAAGAGTAGAATAATAATTATAATCATTTTCATAACTTTTGAATTAATAATAATTTTATATTTTACAAAATTAATAACGAAATTATGTAATAATTGATGTAGCGCAATTTGGTCACTCCTAGCTGGCAGGGGCCTCACTCCTAACTGGCAACGGACAACACCTGAGAAAGAGAAGAAGATGTAGGATTCCCGGGGAGCTCGCCCAGCGGGAACACTCTGATGCTTAAGTTAGAACTCAATGAAGAGCTTAGAGAGTAGTAAAGGAAAATGAGCTAAGAGTGGAGATGCGCAATTCGTAATTCGTAATTACCTTGCTCCTTGGAAATCGGGGCCTTTATATACTGATGCTCTGTCAAATCGAGTGTAACCGCCTTTGATTCTCTGCTCCAGCTGTTATTTGTCAGGGCTGATTCGATTGGTGTAGGTAACCATCGCAGAGTATGGTCTTGTCAGTTGAGAGATGTTACGTAGAACTGGCGTGCACGACGCCGCCTAACGTGAGACGTGGGCGTAGTCTTCTGGACTGGTAGGTGCTGTGCCGCCAGACAAGAGACGTGGGAGCAGTCTATCATATCCACAAAGCACACAATTGAAATTTCTTCTTTAATAACTATATTTTTTTAATATATTATATAATGTCTATTTATTTTTAATGTATAGTTTTTGAAAATAAATAATAAATAATTATTAATTAT